CCCTCATCAATTATCATCTATTTTGTCCATTCATATTCTTCAATCATTTAATACAAATAATTAATACTTCACTTTCTTCACCAATTATACTATCATAAAACACCACGTGACCGTAATTTCAAATTACCGAATAATCACCTATTAGACCCTTAAAAGGAAAAAACAGAAAAAGAAAAAGAAAAAAGAGTCGGTCAGCAATTTCATTTTCAAAATAATACAAAATAGAAAGGGCATGGATTAAGTGTGAGATAGCTAATTTCATGACACTAATTTGTGTTTACTTTTTGATTATTCCCCCTAACAAAAGTAAGGAATCAAAATTGTAATGCCATTAAAAGGTAATTAGATACTTTTGCCTTTTCTAATTAGAATATTTGTAATTTTTTTCCAAATTAAAGGTGATTTGATCTTAATAAACCTCAATTTTTTTTTTATTTTACACATTTTTTATTGTTTAGTTGAATAAAAAGTAGGTGCAAAATTTTAAAAATAATATTTTTGGTCATATTTAAAATTTTAAGAAATTCACTTTTAGCTCGGCCTCTCTTAATATATTAATCTTTCTAAAGGTGAAAAGAGTAATTCTGACTTTTACCTAATGCATATAATAAAAAAATAAAAGTGTCAATCAAACACCAAAAGTAAAAGTAAAAATAAAATTTTTATGCAAAATTAATTTATATAAAAAAAATTATTCATTATAAAATATTTTACGTTGAAATAGACCAAAGTCATATTAAAAAGAAGCAAAGAAGAAAAAGAGTGAGAGACAGCGAGTATATAGTAGGTAGGTCACTCTATAGTCTATGGTACCACACAAAGTGATGAGGAAATTATTTTGAGGAAATTATAAATCAATCTATAAGATCGAAAATATTAAAAAAAATAGGGTTTTAATTTTTTGTTATGCAAAGAAATCACAACAAAAATTAAAGTCCACCTTTAGTAAATAATTTTTTTACTTTCCGCTGTCTTATAATTTATCTAATTATTTTCTGGGAAAGAAAATAACACTTTCTGTAGTCTCAGCCGACATCAACTTCCCTTTCACATAAAATGTCATGAGCCCCCCTCCTTTTGTCTTCATGCCCTATATTTTAATCGAATCAATCCAAATAAACAAAAAAAAAAAAAAAAAAAAAAAACAAACAAAACAAAACAAAACAAAATAAAACAAAAAACCGACATTTTTTGAGTGTATTGTTGGCTGTCAATATAAGCCTTATTAGAGCATCTCCAATGGTTGTTGTTATATTGTCATTGTTATTGTTATAATTTGGCAATGAATAGTATTATTTTACCAAATTATGACAATGGTGCTCCAATAGTCGTTTGCTATTTTGACAAATTTCAACCAACTTTTCTTCCAAATTTGTAGGTGTTGTTTGGATATAAGTTTTTTTGTGATTTTATTTTTGTTTTGTTTTTGTCTTTTGTGACTTTTTTTTTAACTGTTTGTAAAAAAAAAATTATATATTTATATTATTCCTGACTAGACAAATATAAAAAATATAAAAAATTGAAAAATTGGAAAAAAAAAAATATATATATATATATTTTTTATCTTTTTATTGCCTTTATTTGAAAAAATATATTTATTTTTTCATTATACTTTATTGAAAAAATTAAATTATACTAAACTATTTTGCTACATTATACATTGCAAAAATAATATTACATTCTTTTGTAGAAAATACTCAAAAATAAAAACAAATATGAAATTTCATTACAAAATAAAAATATGAGGACCACTTGGCGAAAATTTTATTACATTATCCTGTAATTATTCATCGGGAGGCAGGGGAAAATAGTAATTTGGGCTGCTAACATTTGAGGACCACTTGGTGAAAATCTCATTTTTTCGCATTGTGTAATACACTTTCATCTGAGGGTCTAAATGAGAAATATCCGTAGTCATTGTTTGGTGTTCTCCCTTTCTCATCTCAAACTCATGTTTTTTCATCTCAAGTTCTTTCATCTCCTGTAGTGCTTGAATCATTTTTTCTTCTCTTTCCTTTTTTTTCTTTTTTTTCTCAGCAAGGTGTTGGTTAAATGTATCTAATTGTGTACTCATTTTTTGGACTTCAGTTTCAATGACTTGATTTCTCCGAAATAATTTTTTTGCAGATTTCCTACCCATCGACCTTTTACCCCTTGCAGAGACACTACCCTCACCAACAGTTGGATTGTTACCAACACTTGGACTGGTGTCATCTTCAAGAAAAATGCAGTTATCCATAGGGGAATCGAGAGTTGAATCAAGGGAAAATGGTGTATGTATCCTTGACTTCACCATATTTGTAGGAGTTACATCTTGCCACCTGATATTGTTTTGCAAGATTGACCAACAATGTTCAAAAGAAAAATGTTTCTTTTCATCTTGATGGTATAAAAGTTTTGCTTGAAGCATATGTATCAATAAAATATTAAATTATTTAATTTTTATATGAGACGAAATAAAATAAAATAAAAAACTAACGTAATAAATGAAGATGAAATCTTACTAGATCAACTTGAGACATCCTACTTGGGTGTAAATTTTCGACTTGCACTAAACATCCACGAAATTTGTTAGAACATTTCATGATTGTACCCCATCAAGATTGGATAGAAACTTGTGTTCTTGACTGATCGTTCTGAAGGGAGCAATAATTTTCATAAATTCTTCCCCAAAAGTGAGCATAAGATTGTGAATTGCCAACAATTGGGTCTTCAGAAATGTGACACCAAGCTTTACAAAGTGCCATATCTTCAGCAATGGTGAATGATTTTCTTTTCTTTATTTTTGATGAACCTTCCACACTGATTGTGTAAAAAAAATATAAATAAAAATGTAATTTAGAAAGTTTGTTGTGAAATGAAATTGAGTAAAAAGAGAGGAGAGAAGGTTTGTATTTATAGAAAAAAAAAAGAGCCGTTTTTTTATAGCCGTTTTAACATAAAAAAGAGTCGTTGTAGATATGTTTCACTTATGTTTTTTATTTAATTTTTATTTTTTTTAATGAATAAAGTAGCACACTTGGATCTCAGCCGTTGGATTGTTATTAATCAACGGCTGAGATCAATCATGTGTTTGTGTGTCTCTATCCTCTCATCTCTATGTCTCTGCCTATTGAACAAAATAGCACACTTCGGATAAACTTCAGAGAAGATCAGAGAGAGTGTGTCTCATCCCTATTTTTCAGATCACTTCGAAACACTTTGGAACAAAATAGCACACTTCGGATCTCATCCCTGTTTCACGGATCACTTCGAAACACTTCGGATCAGTGTCTCTATCCTTCGGATCACTTCGGATCAATGTCTCTACTTCGAAACACTTCGGATCACTTCGAAACACTTTGGATCAGTGTCTCTATCCTCTCATCTCTGGTTCTCGCCTTCTCTATCCCCCTGTTTCTCGGATCAGTGAAGATCAGAGAGAGAGAGCTTCGGATCAATGATTTTCAGATCGATGAGTCTTTCTCTCATCTTTATCTTCAGATCGATGAAACTCTCTCATCTTCATCTTCGGGTAAACCTTCTTTCATCCACCTCCCATCTTCTCTCACCCAAAGCTGTCTCTCTCTCTCTCTCTCTCTCTCTCTCTCTCTCGGATCGTCCACCTTCGGATCATCCACCAGATCATCCACCTTCGGATCAACCTTCTCTCATCCAGGTATTTTTCTTGATTAATTTCGTCTTTATTGATATTGGAGAATTTGTGAATATTGGAATATTGGAGAAATTGATATTGATGAATTTGTGAATATTGGAGAAATTTTTGAAGATGAATTTGGTATGAATTTGCTGAAATTCTTGATAAATTTGTGAATATTGATATTGATGAATTTGGTATGAATATTGATGAATTTGCTAAAATTCTTGTTCATTCTGATTAATTTGTGATGATTTCTGTTTTGTGATCAATTTGTGATGAATATTGATGAATAATGATTTCATTTCTTGTACAAAAAACTTCATGCATTCTGAAAAATCCCAACTGAAAGGGAAGGAGGAAAGGAGGGAAGGAAGATAGCAGTTTAATTTTGGGTGACTTGTCAGATTTGGCAGCTGTGCCAAATTTGGCACATGATTTGGTAGTTGCCAAATTTGGCAGCTGTTATAGCATGCCATTGGAGAAGTCAAGATTGCCCAAGCTGCTATATTATGGCTTTGGCAGCTGATTTAGCCATCCATTGGAGATGTTCTTAGGATCAATGCTATATCCTGCAAAGAAAAATTCCAATGAAGAAGTGGATGATCAATGTCTGTTAATCATATTATTTAATTTTGATGATGTCTAAAATATATTAGTTAATATACATATTATTTGACACAAATTATTATCTTTTTAAAATATATATATTTGTTAAATATTATTTAAATAAAATAATATTATCTTTTTAAAATATATATGTTAAATATTATTTTAAATATTTTCAAAAACTTTACTATTCACTTTTTGAAAAATAGGGTTAATTACTATTCATCTTTTGACAAATCGATTAATTATATTATTTTGACAAAAATGATTATTTTATTGGTTGTATTATTTTGACAAATTTGATATTTATGGGTTGTCTTATTTTGACAAAATTAATATGGAGTGGTAAAATATATTTAGTTTAAAATCTCTACAACATATGCAATATTTTAAAGAGGACATATATTTTCAGATCCATAATAAATATAATTTATAGAGATTTTTCTGTATGCAGAATTTTGATCAGAACTTATATAACATTATATGCAGAATACATCACGTGCGTTATTAAATTTTTTACATCACATTGATTATATCATATCACACTACACTACATTGATTATATCATATTATAATTAAACAAGAAGAAAAAGATGGAGTTATATATATATATATGTGTATATATATATATATATATATTCAAGTAGTATATACAATAAATATAAAGTGATATTTGCAAAAATTCTAATACACATGTATTATTTTCCATCACTTCCCTCAACAAAATTATCTTTCTTAAAAAAAAAAAAAAATGTGCATACAAAATATAAACTTCTATACACACAAAACAAATATCCATCAACCATCCTTAAAAGTATTTATACAAAATACTAATAGATTCAAGTACTAAAAAAAAAAAAACTGAATTTAACTCTCAATATCACCCACTCAATCATATCAACTACTCCCTCAACACTACCTGTAAAAATATACATCAATATATTAGTTGACTAACTTGGATGCCAAAACAAAAATGGATACAAAGAGCACATTAATTGACTTACTTGGATGCCAAAACCTTTTCCAATAGCAGTACAAAGAAGTTCAATATTGTTCTTAGAATCAATACTAGTTTGAAAAGAGTTAATCATTTAATCATCTCACAAAAATATCACAGAAAAAATCAAGTTGTCACTGGATATAAGCTTTCGAATGTCCCATTGGTACAAGTAACAATACAGCTGAAATTTGGACTATTCAAGCTAACACCCAATGGTTAATTATTGAATTCTAATTATTAAGCAATGACAGGTTGTAGGCTCCATTCCAACGACTGAAAATTGTCATAGAGGCCGGAAAAATGTACAAAAAGGGGGATGACCACAATCTCAAGATCAGCAGCTCAAACCTCAAACCCATGCTTATCAGACGAATCAAACCGAACCTCCAATTCACGTCGTTCTCAGAAATTCCATTTACAGACCAAAGCCGCAATTACTTAAATTAAGTAACAAAGAATAAGCTCCATAGAAAAAGTTTAGTTCATGCATGCACAAAATTGTTTTTCTCAAAACATTGACGGAAACAAAATTCACAAACTATAATCCATTATCTAATTATGAAACATTCATGCATGCACGAAATTGTTTCCCTCAAGTTCAAAACATTGAGAGAAACAAAATTCACAAACTATAATCCATTATCTAATTATGAAACATTCATACATGCACGAAATTGTTTCCCTCAAGTTTTGCCTAGCTGCTGGAGCTGATTAATAAGTCATAATGAACCAAGAAAGAAAACCTAAAGACAAGCCAGTACATGTTAAACGTAAAGGTATAAATTAATACAGAGTTATATGATACATTAAAAAGAAAGACTTGTACATTTTCTGGACTAGTGACAACATGTCTCATTTATGATTTCTTATTAAAGGCCAACTGACAATAGGATACTGCAACCAAGGTAAAAGAATATACCAGCATATAATGGATTTAAAAAAAAATTAAGCACAAGACTTACTGTTTTACGAACTCCAGCAGGTAACTCTCCAAAAATTTCATCACAAAACATATCATTTGACATCTCACTCTGCAAAATCAAACAGAAACCGAAATCATGTACCTATATAGAACAAGCACTTAAAAGTAAAAAATATTCAATATCAAGACTACAAAATATGGGAATCAAGTATTTTGTCAAAAATAACTTCAAAGGACACTGGGACACATAAGAGAAGAGGCAACGCAAGCAATATAGGGATATAATACTAGAACAAAAATAAAAAATCAAGTGGCTCCTAATTTTGCCACAAGAAAAATTAATTTTACATTTTCTACGATATTCAATTCTTTACTATTTTTGGTAACAATTCTTTACAAAGTATCTGATATGATATACAATTCTTTACTATTTTTGGTAACAAAAATAAAAAATCAAGTGGCTCCTAATTTTTTTAATGGAGTTCTGGAAGTGAAAAAGCAAGTACTTTAGGTATGAAACCCAAGCCACATGATGCTCCGTACAGTGTTCCACACCTGTAATTTATCTACATAATAGATACAGCAAACACTTGCACCCATATTCATCAAAATCATTTCAGCAAACACTTCCACTTATGCTTTGGCAACCTATAATTGATGCCAACCAAAATGTCACAAGCAACAAAGATGAATTATTTCACTATAAAGGTGAGAGCAGAAGTCCTTCCAGCATACAGAACTTGGCTCTCTCTTGGTATTCGGTTCATAGGCCTGCAGCCCAATCAAATTTTCAAGGCCTCTTGAGGTGTCATTTAGATGAGCCAAGCCCCTAAAAAATGAAGGATTATAACTCCTGTCTTATCTCATTCGTATTTTGAATAAGATTCTAGCATAACCAAGAAAAAAATTGTGATATAAATTAAAATTCCATTGTGTGACAACCTGTACTCAGATAATTATAACTACTCATTAAAATGTATAAAATCACGTACATTAAAATAACTAATTGTATATTTATTTATTTATTGGTAGAAAGAGGAAATCAACGTTGATTCATGTTTGTCAAGACGGTCTCAACCGTAGGCTCTATGCAACTAAAATGAAACCTAGTTCTCCTAACACCTTATAGCACTTTCACCATTTTTCCACTCTCCCTAAACCCATCAAATTTCAGCCACGTACTGAAATTTTTTGAACCTTATAAATCATGAAAGACACTCCCCGATAGAAACCAATCTAAATTTTTGGATTTATATTTACTTGAAACTCTAAAGTTTGGTTTTTCTTACTGAAATAATTTGATAGCTACAAATATTCACATGTTCCATGTCATCTACATGAAGGTTCTTTCCAAGTTTCTACAATGTCTGCAAATATTTTACCGTAGAATTTTTTGTTATTGTATCATAATGCGTCTTCAAGATATCACATAACATGATCAAGTTTGCCAACATTTTTTGATTCCCAACAATAAATCATTCATAATTACCAGACTGCTTGAATCCACTTATGCTTTGGCAACCTATAATTGATGCCAACCAAAATGTCCCAAGCAACAAAGATGAATTATTTCACTATAAAGGTGAGAGCAGAAGTCCTTCCAGCATACAGAACTTGGCTCTCTCTTGGTATTCGATTCATAGGCCTGCAGCCCAATCAAATTTTCAAGGCCTCTTGAGGTGTCATTTAGATGAGCCAAGCCCCTAAAAAATGAAGGACATAAACAAGACAAAAAAAACAAAATCAAAGTAAAGATTACATCATAAGTTGAACAAGGTAGTTTGTACCAAATTTTAACTTTTAAAATTATTTAGATAAGGTATGTGCATTTAAAGGATACAAACATGGATAAAAATGGATCGATTATTACCTAGGGAAGTTCATAACCAAGGTTCCGCCACATGATAAACCTTGGCTCAAGTAGTTAATCACATTTAGCGGTAGAGATAAAGACGAGGATGATCCTCCTTGTGTCAACTGTAGATGCTTCAACTTGTGAAATGGAGAAGGATGACTTCTGAGAGAATCAGGATCCATTGCAAGAACCTTACCATATGCAAAACAAATAAAAACAGAAAATTAATTTGGACTCAATAGCTAAGACAATTTAAAGATAGAATTAGGCAATAACAAGTAGTAGTTGGTGAGTGCTTATTTATTTTTATATATGATCCACACGCCTACAACAAATTGTACATTGTTATATATGAGGCTGGAAATGCAGCAAATAGCTACGATAGATGTACCACAATCGGAATTCAGCATGACTATTTGTAACTACTCAATTTGATTTAAATGACTACCATACTATAGTATTTGGTAAAAATTGGATGGAACATCATAATCTATGGAATTGCACTACAAAGGGTATCATAGCAATCTTATTACTAATTTCAAAAAATTTCAAAAGCAAACAGTTTACTAAGATAGTTATTTGCCATCCTAGTCCACAAATGTGAGCCAATTACTCCTAAAAGCAGTTCTAATTTATAAACTAAGAAGCACCGCACCTCATGTGTGGCCAAACTCCTCCCCAAGAGTGAATAAACACATGGATATAATTTATTATTGGACAAGCAATGAGATTTGAACTTAGAGTCTTTCCTTGTTTTATGCTATGTTTGAGAGTTTAATCAACTCAATGAAGTATAACTATGGCTTTTCATATCATTAACATTCTAGTGATAATAAATAGAAATTTAAAATCGATTGTCAAATGCAGAATGTAATTTAAAAAACAAAATAAACTACAAAAGCTACAGAAATTCCCAAAGTTGATGACTGGGGAAATTTTTTTTGCATCTCGAACTTCTTAAACAACCGAACTTCATAACTCCAAAATTGGGGAAGCTAGAAGTAAGCTCGGCAATTAAATTTTTTCGTCTCTGAAAGTGGAAGGCTGTAAAAGATGCACAACTAATAGACAAGGCTTTTAGTATATTCGATTCCTTTTTTCAGTAATCAAGGTGGAGAACAAATGTGATATCTCAAGGCTTCACCGCATAAGAATTTGGTACGAATCAAAATGGTAAATGAATGCGAGAATTTATGATTAAATCCATCAAATAAAACTTTAGACCATACATGAGAAGCAGTTACAATTAGTGATTGCGATAAGTTAGATTAAAAAAAGATCATATTATCGCTTATAGTTTTCAGCAGCACAATGTCTCCCTCAAAGTTTAAATTCCAAACACCTGCTGGATGCTTGAAATATGTTCCAAATTGTGTGGTTGCATCTTTCTAGACCGAATCAGCTGTCTTTTCATTCTATTTTAATGGCTCATCCTGATGTGTAATATTACCACACTACATATATAATGTTTTTGGTCCCACAAGTTAGTAATAATGGTTTCAACTTTTATGATTGCAGGCTATGCTTATCTGGATCCTCGGATTCTATGATCAGGTTGATTTCAGATTCCAATTTTTTTTTTTTTTTTTTGATGAGCAAGAATTATGTTAATGCTAAGAAAAGGATAAAAGGAGTACAATGGGGGCCAGGAAGTGTTCGCAAAGAAAGGAAAGGAAAACATTAAACAGCAAAATTAAATCACATACTCCAATCTCTATGAATTAAGAACAAATGATGAAGCCCTATAATAAAGTAATTTGTTATATTTGACATGCTAATTTTTGTTTAATGCAAATTTCTATCTTATAGTGTGCCCTGTTCTGCTCAGACGTAGTAATAGGCTCAACTTCCAATGAAAACATAAGAGTCAAATCATCCTTGGATTTGGATCCAATAGGATCCTGTTTGATCAAATTGGTTTCTGTGGTTAGACTGGTGGATTCCTATTATTTTTCATTTCAAGTGTGGTCATTAAGAAACTTCTCTGTTTTCATTAATATCTTTTTTGTTTTCATTAAGAACATTATATACCTAATATAATGACCCAATAACTTAGTTTGACTTATTTTTAACTCATAGGCCATCAGCGTTCTCTGTTTTCATTAATATCTTTTTTGTTTTCATTAAGAACATTATGTACCTAATATAATGACCCAATAACTTAATTTGACTGATTTTTACCTCATAGGCCATCATCATAGCCCATCTTATAGCAAAGTCAAGCTAACCAAAATATCTTTAACTTCTAAAACATAAGAAAACATTGGTAAAACTATACCAGTAACTTACTCTTTATATGAAATGTAACTAAATCTTGGATTGACCCAAAGCTTCATTAGATGAGGCCTAAATGTGCACCATGCAAGATCATGATTCTCTCTTTTCATAATTCATTTGCTCTACATCATTCAAAAGAACTCAACATGAGTTTTGTAATGTAGTAGTATAAGAACAACTTGTAATGTTCGGAGGCATGCACTCTTAAAATTGATAACACAACTGCATTTCTCAAAATAGTAATCATTTTTATTTGAGAAATGCCAATATTACCCCAGATAGGAAGCATTGGACTTCAATTTGACTTTGAAAAGGAAATTATTTCTGCTCGTCACATTCTGAAACATTCATATCATTAGATTAGCACTATGTTTACCCTTCTATGTGGTGACCTCTCTGAAAGTTCTCTCTCTCTCTCTCTCTCTCTCTCTCTCTCTCTCTCTCTCATGTATGGTCTAAAGTCTTACTGAAGATATGG